TATCTTTTAAGTATTTTTTTTTAACTTTTAAGGGTTTAGTTGTCATTTTGATTATTTATTTATTTTAGGGTTTGTGATCTCCTTATATATATAGGATTTGTGTACTCCTTATATATATAGGGATATATATTTGTTGTGAGACTAGACTTTAATTATTATTAATAACTGGTATTGAATATTTTGTTTCCTTCTCAAATTCCCTCTCTTTTCTCATCCCCTTCTTCTTCCGTTTCTCATCCCTAATTCTTCTCTATTACGATCTACATCAATTTGGTGTCAGAGCCCAATTTCGATTCGTACAAATCACAAAAATCTTAACAACACTGTTCATCGGGAAAAAATCCGTCCGTTGAAATCATTGTTCATGCGCACTCTTTGCACGCACTGTTCATCGTTGACTCAGGATCGATTTCATCTCTGACAGGTCATCGCTGACGCTTGTGTTTAACAGAAACACCCCAGAAGAATTACAAAAACACTCCAGAAGTTTTAAAATTGCAGAAACATTCTCAAAAGGTCCAAAAAAATTGCAGAATCACCCCTATAAGTTTTAGCAAATTGTAGAAATACTCCCAGAAGTTTTAGAAATTACATAATCATCCCCAAAAAGTTTCTGAATTTCTGAATTCCCTTAAAGCAAAGCTTGGATTATGGTATGCATACTCCTATAGAAATTTGAAACTAATATTTTTATTCATTGAAAAATTAAAAAATTTGCAAAGGGTCCAAATCATTTGTCAATTACATTCTTGAATTTGTTTTGGTGTCATTCCATTGTTCCAAGACTCACTCATGAGTATGTATGATGCATCTAATCCATATATTTACTCTAATTTAAGAGTCCCTCCTCAAGGTCATCATCATAGCAAGTAAGGCATGTCTACAAGGATTCAACACCTATTGCTAAATCAATTAAAGATCCTTTTACATTTTGTGGTACTCTAGATTCCAATTAATTTTTGGATTGGTTAGCTAATTTAAAAGAACATTTTGATTGGCATGGCATGTCGGATTCCCATTGCGTTTGATTTGCTAAATTGATGTTAGAGGGTTCCGCCAAGCAGTATTGGCAAACAATCCAAAGAAGTCTAGACCCCTTAGGAGAATCACCTATCACTTGGGTTGAAATGAGATATAAATTAAAAGAGAAGTATTTGCCTACTTCCTACATGGATCAAGTTTATGACCAATGACTCAATCTTAGACAACATTCTTCTAGTGTCTCTGATTATTTTGTTCAGTTCAATTATCTCATGTACTTGTGTGACATTGTTGAAGAACCTTGGACAATTAATTAGTTTATTCTTGTGTTGAGACAAAAAATTAGTAGGGAGGTCAAGCTATACACTTTTTAATACGATAGTTGCAGCCCTATCAATAATCTCTAAAGGTTGAGAGATTTCATAAGAAATCCAACTATAGCTTGATGGGTTCTCAATCACGATCTGTTAAACAGCGTGAAAGGATACCTTTCAATTTTAATTCCACCACATATGAGAATCATGATTACTTGAATGATGTCCATGTTGTTTCTTCATACTTTCCTAATCTGAATGTGGCAAAGGATTTAGATATGCTAGTATCGGATAANTTTTTTTTAACTTTTAAGGGTTTAGTTGTCATTTTGATTATTTATTTATTTTAGGGTTTGTGATCTCCTTATATATATAGGATTTGTGTACTCCTTATATATATAGGGATATATATTTGTTGTGAGACTAGACTTTAATTATTATTAATAACTGGTATTGAATATTTTGTTTCCTTCGCAAATTCCCTCTCTTTTCTCATCCCCTTCTTCTTCCGTTTCTCATCCCTAATTCTTCCCTATTACGATCTACATCAATTTGGTGTCAGAGCCCAATTTCGATTCGTACAAATCACAAAAATCTTAACAACACTGTTCATCGGGAAAAAATTCGTCCGTTGAAATCACTGTTCATGCGTACTCTTTGCACGCACTGTTCATCCTTGACTCAGGATCGATTTCATCTCTGACGCTTGTATTTAACAGAAACACCCCAGAAGAATTATAAAAACACTCCAGAAAGTTTCAAAATTGCAAAAACATTCTCAAAAGATCCAAAAAAATTGCAGAATCACCCCTATAAGTTTCAGCAAATTGTAGGAATACTATCTAGAAGTTCCAGAATTGCAGAAATACTCCCAGAAGTTTTAGAAATTACATAATCATCCCCAAAAAGTTTCTGAATTTCTGAATTCCCTCAAAACAAAGCTTGGATTATGGTATGCATACTCCTATAGAAATTTGAAACTAATATTTTTATTCATTGAAAAATTAAAAAATTTGCAAAGGGTCCAAATCATTTGTCAATTACATTCTTGAATTTGTTTTGGTGTCATTCCATTGTTCCAAGACTCACTCATGAGTATGTATGATGCATCTAATCCATATATTTACTCTAATTTAAGAGTCCCTCCTCAAGGTCATCATCATAGCAAGTAAGGCATGTCTACAAGGATTCAACACCTATTGCTAAATCAATTAAAGATCCTTTTACATTTTGTGGTACTCTAGATTCCAATTAATTTTTGGATTGGTTAGCTAATTTAAAAGAACATTTTGATTGGCATGGCATGTCGGATTCCCATTGCGTTTGATTTGCTAAATTGATGTTAGAGGGTTCCGCCAAGCAGTATTGGCAAACAATCCAAAGAAGTCTAGACCCCTTAGGAGAATCACCTATCACTTGGGTTGAAATGAGATATAAATTAAAAGAGAAGTATTTGCCTACTTCCTACATGGATCAAGTTTATGACCAATGACTCAATCTTAGACAACATTCTTCTAGTGTCTCTGATTATTTTGTTCAGTTCAATTATCTCATGTACTTGTGTGACATTGTTGAAGAACCTTGGACAATTAATTAGTTTATTCTTGTGTTGAGACAAAAAATTAGTAGGGAGGTCAAACTATACACTTTTTAATTAGATAGTTGCAGTCCTATCAATAAGCTCTAAAGGTTGAGAGATTTCATAAGAAATCCAACTATAGCTTGATGGGTTCTCAATCACGATCTGCTAAACAGCGTGAAAGGATACCTTTCAATTTTAATTCCACCACATATGAGAATCATGATTACTTGAATGATGTCCATGTTGTTTCTTCATACTTTCCTAATCTGAATGTGGCAAAGGATTTAGATATGCTAGTATCGGATAAAGAGAAAAATATTACTCATATTGACCTCCAACTCCCTCATTCAATTTCATCAGATCAGAGTTCTCCTCCTTTGCATCCATAAGAGTTTATATCGAAAGAAAGTGTGTGTGAGTCTTTGCTTGTGTCAATTCTTGAATCATCATTGGTCTTGAAAATTGTAAAAAAGTCTGTTAAGTTTACACCTATGCAAGATATTAAGCCAATCGAGTCATTTATTGCAGAATCTACTAGTCACTATTTTGTGTCTACTTGTCCAAGTCATCATGACTTTGTTACGAATTCTTTCCAACCTGAGATTGTTGATATTGTTATGGATTTTGCCTCACTTGAGAGTGTTAACTTTGATTCTTTGTTTACTGTCAAGTGTTCAATTGAGTCTGTATTTTTTTATTTTCAGCATCAGGGTGTTACAGTTACTCCTTTGTCATTGATGTCTTGTCCCACTGAATGTCTTTTGTTCAAATCTAATGAGAATTGTTTTGCTATTTTTGAATTTGGATCTAATGCTTATTTTACTTAATTTTTCATTGAATGTTAGTATTAGTCTAGATTTTTATTTGGAGGATTTACTACTTAATCAAGGTACTCCAGACCCTCCTATTTTGTTATCCAGTGTTTCTACAGGTGGAATTGCTTCTTCCTCAACACTAACTCTAGTTCTTATCTTTTCACTTCATCGCATATTTCGAGCTAAATAGATGATGTGCTATGTGACCAAATTTATATTACTAAAAGATGTTGATGGTTCTTTCATTTTAGATAAGGCATTATATCATCTTCATCCTGCTCTCGTAGGGTACTTCTACTTTGAAGACTCTCCGAAAGAGAGTTTTTTTCAACCGGAGGAGAATGATGGGGATCGTGTAGCAATTGGATAGATATTTTAGATTAATCATGGGAGTAATTTAGTATTTATCTTTTAAGTATTTTCTTTTAACTTTTAAGAGTTTAGTTTTCATTTTGATTATTTATTTATTTTAGGGTTTGTGATCTCCTTATATATATAGGATTTGTGAACTCCTTATATATATATATATATATATATATATAGGATACATATTTGTTGTGAGACTAGACTTTGATTATTATTAATGACCGGTATTGAATATTTTGTTTCCTTCTCAAATTCTTTCTTTTCTCATCCCTTCTTCTTCCCTTTCTCATCCTTAATTCTTCTCTACTACGATCTACATCACCAATAGTCTTATATCTTGTACGCTTGAATGTTGAAGACAGGAGGATGTGTTTCTCAGGAAATATAGGATTGATGGTCTTTGTGTATGGATTGAATTGGATAGTAGCAGGTTTGCGGAGTTTGCCAGAGTAAGTAAGATGTTGAAAAATGGTGGGAGAATGAGTTTGATTATCCCTAAAGGCATTGAAGGAAGGGGTGGAAAGCATTTCGAAGGATGTTGGAAGAAGCCATGCATGGCACTGGGCACTTTCTGTCAATGAAAAGAAAAAACAAGGAGGGGCTGTGGTGGTTGGTACAGAAGGGACGAATAGTAGGCATGTTAGGAAGCATAAAGGTTCTAATATTTTTAAAGGTGAAGTTTTTTTCAGAGGAGGAAAGATGGAAGTGTGTTGTGGTATGTGTTAGGAGCATCCTATTAGTATCCAGGAATGTGATACAAATTTTCTAGCTATGGCCCTAAATAGGGAAGTGAAATTGCAACCATTTCAAGCAAATAAAACTACGTTTTTTTGTGAAAATAAAATACAGGCAGAGAGAATCTATAAGAAAGAAAATTGTTCTCGGGAAACTAAAAATCGTGCTAATCTGTATGCGGCTAGAATACGAGTCCACAAGCCACAAATGAGGTTCCTCAAGACGCCTTTCAAGATGACTTCAATGGGAAATCATATCCCATTAACATCAAGGTATTCTCTAATATGGGTTAGTTTTGTCATAGCGCGAGATAGAGGTTGTATGGGGGAGGTAGTATGAAAAGTTTGTACTACAAGCTACTGGTTGATGATGAAGTTAAGGATTCAGGAGGGTCACATGGTAGTAGCAGAGGGAGAAGTTTTGGGGAGATGTGTGCACCAAAGGGTCAACTTAGTAGCATAGCTTTGATTTCTGTTGAGGAGATAATTAATGATGGAATTATTGCCAAATAGCCAATAATGTTGCTAATTTCCAAGATTGGTTAATGGTGGGTGATTTGATTTTGAAAAGAATCAGAAGATGGAAAGCTGGGGAGTTATGCTTAATTTAAAGAATCTAGAGCAATAATTGAGCAAGAATGTGGAAAATGAGGGGTTAAGCAAAATTTACGAAGTTTGGACCAAAATTTAATTTGTTGTCAGAGTTAATAAAATTCAAAAGTGGGTGGGATGCTCTAGAATGCAAGATGGGTCCAGTGGGTCTAAGTTAGGGCAAAAGGATGACAAACTTTCTAAATTGGGCTCTTTAAATCCAAGAAGATTGACTTAATTAATGATAAGTTGGACATGGTCCAAAAATTGAGTGGCCCATGACCCTCTTTTAACAAGTTGAAGACTCGGGCTTTCAAGGCTATTATTTACGGGCAGATTGAGTTGTGAGTCCTATGTTCTGGAGGAATATAAATTCCACATAGAGAACAAAGTTCATCAGGGTAGAGCCAATGAGGGATCAACGACGATAAATGGTAGGAGTATGGATGGAGGTAAGGATGAAAATTTGTTGAGTGATGTTGGAGGAAAAAGCGATGGGTATGACAGTCTTAGAGACGACTTTGAGATTTTAGGTTTGAAGGAGTGAATGAAGAAGGCCAGTGACAATTGGCGTTTAAGGTTGAAGAAGGTTATTATGATGTCCAAAATGCTGCGCTGGAATTGAGAGATAGTGACGACACTAATAGTAGCTTAAAGGACACGTTGTATCGATGCAATATTGGCAATGAAGATGGGTTACAACCGGAGGAAGTCTGTTGACATGACAATATTTTTTTGACATAAAGGGGAGAAATGTCTAATTCTATGAAGGGTAGTAAAATTTATTTTCTTGGGAGGGGTTCCAATTATGGGGTAGGTCATTATGGGTCTGATTAGAGAAAGGGTGTGTGTTCTAGAACATGCGATGAACATGGATCTTATGGGAAGGAATTGGTGATGTCTGACCAATNCATTAAAGACTTTTGTACATGAAAAGCTTGTATATTTAATACATAAAAAAAATACATTAGTCTTAATATCTAAATTTTTAAAAGTTCAAATTCTGGTATTAGGGGATTTATTTCTATATTTTGATCTCTCGCTTCAGAGGCATACTAATCTTGAAGACACGTGAGGGCTTCCACTGTCTTTCCATTTGAGCACCTCCTATGCTCATCAATGACACGTCTTCTTGTACTCAAAGCAGATTCGGACGTTGCAGTCGACATAAAAACTGTTAGTATATCACGAGTCATGGTAGAAAGAATTGGAAGCCTACTTTCATATTTTGTCCACCAGGCCAAAATATCAAAATCAGGATCTTCAGCANATGCAATATTGGCAATGAAGATGGGTTACAACCGGAGGAAGTCTGTTGACATGACAAGATTTTTTTGACATAAAGGGGAGAAATGTCTAATTCTATGAAAGGTAGTAAACTTATTTTCTTGGGAGGGGTTCCAATTATGGGGTAGGTCATTATGGGTCTGATTAGAGAAAGGGTGTGGGTTCTAGAACATGCGATGAACATGGATCTTATGGGAAGGAATTGGTGATGTCTGACCAAAATGGAACCATGGGGATGGTGGAAGGTCCAATTTTAGTTCTATTAGTTGTTTCACAACTTCAGTATTGATAATGGTTTCTACGTATTNACCTACCAATGGAGCATTGTAATATTGCTGAAGTTCAGTTAACCCCCTAGATGTTGACATACCTCCTCTGGTCAAAATTGAAGCTAGCATAAATGTTTTATCTTTACCTTTATTAGTACTACCAACAATATCACTAAATGCTAAGGGGGGATTGAAGTGTACTACCATTAATTTTTTTTTCAAAATAATATTTTATTTTATTCATATGGTTCATGTGCTCATTATTTAAGTTACCATATTGAGACATAAAAACACTTGTAATTCTTTAAATCAATGGTCAATTAACATACAAAAACTAGTAAATATAAGAAGTGGTGAGAAATATTTATTAAATTTAGATCGTATATTATGTAAAATAGTAGAAAATTTGGGTTCAATACTATATTGTTCAAAAAGATTACTGATAGTAACTATATGAACATTGACAAATGTAATAGTTGGATAATAATTATCATGTAAAGTCATAGTTGTCTCATAAAAAACTTTCAAAAAATCTTTCATTTTATCAGTGACTTCTCATTCTTCTTTGGTGGGATGCGATAATGAACCCATGGTATCTATACTAACATAGTCATTTAAGACAGTTTTATATTTATCTAGCATTTTATTGGTGGAGTTTCACCTATGTTGTACATCATATGGTATTTTTTTGCATTTTAAATTATTCTTTTTACACATAGTTTCAAATGTCCTAAGTCTATTTTTAGCACATTTTATATGATAAATAATATGTCTAATTTTATCAATTACAAATCTAATATCATGGAGACCACTTTGTACTATGAGATTTATGATACGACACATACATCTCATGAAAAAAAGTACCTTCACATGATAAAGTTAAATAACATTTTAAATGACTTACAACTCCGCTATTATTTGATACATTATCTAAAGTAATAGTAAAAATCTTGTCTTGAATACGATAAATTTGTTACTGATTATAAATAACTTCAAAAATAACTTGTGCACTATGATTATCTTCAATC